TCAGCTTTCCGCTTCTCCAATGCTCCCCTGAGGGTCTGGCGGCTTCAGGAGCATGAAGACGAGGAGGAAGACGGGCACGGGGATGGGGGACGGGGATGGGGCAGGGGACAGGGAACTGGGGAACGTGGGAACTCTGAGGGGGACAGAGGTGGAAATCAGGTAAGCGGGGTAGAGGAGGGAGGGGCGGGGCGGAGGATCAGGGAGGAGGGAACAGTCAATGGTAACGATATGTCCAGTGACCCAGTCACAAAACTAAGTCATCCTCAGAGCTTCTCCAGCGACGCCTGGAGAAGCCCTCACATGCTGCTTGTATTCTGAATGCGCGGCGCAAGCCAGTAGATGACCGCGTCCAAGCAGGGAAAATGAGTCCCACGTGCACGATTTTTTTTTTTTTTACAGCCGCAGGTGGAGGCGCCGACGGCGAGCGGTCACGGTCGGGCTGCGGCCGCGACAAACTAGCGGGCGCGCGCGGAGCCGCGGATCAGGCGGCGAGCGGCGGCAACCCAGGGCGTCTGAGAGGCCAGCGGGCGTGCAATCCCAGGGAGTCTGCAAGGACAGCCCTAGAGGAAACGTGCAAACGGCAAACCCAGGGAGTCTGAGAGATGCGTACACGATGCACGAAGCCGTTACACTACCCTCCATGTTTGCACAGCTGACAAAAGACGCATAATTCGTTGCTCATACTGTGACCACGGTGACGGAAGATGCAAGGTGGCGGCCCGCCGATCACCAGAGTGTGTTGTTACCAAGGTTGAACTCTGTCAGGCGAGAACAGGTGGAACACAGCTGCAGAATAGTCGACCACCCGATTTTTCACAAGACTGACTGTTATCCAGCAGCATCGTGTGAAGGTGCCAAAGATCTCACCCGGCCTGCACGCTGAAGCACGCCCGGGCGGCAGGGACGAGCGTTTGCTTGGGCTCGGAGCCTGTGGAACCTCCCACGACCTGCAGCTTGAGGTGGGCCTTGACGAAGACGGCCGTGAAGGGAAATGAAGCCGATGATGATGGTGAGTGGAGTAGCCGTAACGAGGGCTTTCCCCACATATATAGATTACACACGAAAGGTATTTGGTGAAGGTTCCATCTGAAGAATATACCAACTCCCAGCTCGCAAGCCGCAGTCATCATCTCAGATCGTTTGAGAGCATTCGGCGACATGTCCAGGGTAATCCAGCTGGACTTTGCCGTAACCCCTGGGACCGAGGCCAAAACAAATGCAGGGATGCCCCGCTTCCTCACCATGTTGGCACGTAGGGTGAGATACTCAGTACCATCCGATGACACATGTCTGAAGCTCGGCCACGAAGCCCCGCAGTGAGCGCAGGGCCGTCCTGCCTGCCGGCGAAACTGCATCAGCCACGAAAATCCCGAGGAGCTCCTCTGTCACGGAGAGACTCCTCAAAGAGCTTGAAAGGTCTACCTGAGAGCGCCCCAACGTCGTCTTTATCGACCGCCTCGGAATGTCTCCTTGTCTGATACACTTGCTGCATACACCCTACTCGACAAGTGGCTTTAGGCACATGTTGTACACGATTGGCGTGTCGTTCCTTGCCTGTTAGATGTGTCCAGACACGTCCCTGCACAGCTGTCAACCCTTTCACCAGTCGATGTACTCGATGATTGTCATCTCCTCGCGCCTTGAGAAGACACCCACGATCAGCTGAACAACGAATGAATCTGAGTCCGATACTGCTTGCATGGTTCACCATAGCTGTATCAACAAACTGGGACCACACCAACTTCTCATGTTTGACCGTCTTGATCTCCTGAAGGGCGGCCGAGAAAATATGATGATCACGTGCTCTCGTGCACCACCATCGTCCGTGGCACCACCATTTAGTGCCTGTACGTTGGATCGTAACACGAAGCTTCTTTGCCAGGTCGGCAGGGCAGACTGAGCAGCGGGGAAAACCATATCCACAGTGGGCGAACATATGATACTGCAAGTCGCTCACGAATTTCTGATGCCCCAGGAATGGAGCCAAGCGTATGTATAGCTGTGTATATTTTCCCCCATCTTCCAGGCATCGCCCGTCGTCCACGTTTGGAATTTGCGTTGGTTCTCCACGAACCCGACCTCTCGGTCGAAAAGGGTTGTGTATTGAAGATCGTCCTGCAATAGATCGCTGTTGGCTGCAGTCAGCGAACGATCGTCCATGTACGCCTGGCCGCTGACAGGTTGCCAGGGCGTGAGGCTGAGGACCATCGCTGCAGGCGCAACACTGGTCACCTTGAGGCAGTCCGCGTTGAGGTCTGATGCGGGGTGCGACCGCACCAGATACGCTGCAGTGTCAGGGGGCCTTCCAAGCCGCCCTTGAAGTAGAAATAGTTGAATATGGCGCCTCAGCTGCTTGCAACGCTGCTGCGCCAATATGATGTTCAATATTGTCATACGCTTTGGTGAGATCGAGCTCCGCTCCCGCATCCGTCTGACTCGCTTGCTCTAGCTAGGCTGAAATCGCATGGACACAAGAGACCACCTTGCGAACTGCCGACAAACGCCCCACGATGGGTACACCACCTTGCGAACGGCGAACAGCAGCCTGACGTTTTGCTTTGTCACCTCGAAAAGACGCGCCGACCAGCCACGATGTCCCTCAAGCACCGTCTAGAGGTGCGCGGCACGACGCAAAGGGCATACGCTTACGGAATGCCTCGGGCCGATGTCTGAGCGAGGATGGATGTGAGAGAGCAGGAGGAGGGAGAAGGCACATGGGGGAAGAGAGGGGGACGGGAGGAGGGAGGAGGAGGATCAGGAGGAGGGAGAAGGGAGATGGGAGAAGAGAGGGGGACGGTGGGAGGGAGGAGGAGGATCAGGAGGAGGGAGTGGCTGTGGCTGTGGACGACTGCCGGCTAGGCTCTCGAAAGGACTAACAAGCAGGCTTCAAATATAAGAGAATTGAGCGGGCACACGGGGCCCTGGCAGTTCACGAACTTCACCGCGGCCCAGACAATTACGAGCTTTGCATGGCAAGCACTACCGGCAAGAGCGGCACTGCGACGTGCGCGCCCGCGGCGAGCAGCCGAGAAGCTGCACGCACCACGGGTGCAACGAGCCACGGATGTTCCCGTAGCACGGCTAGCACTTCCACGTAGTCCGAAAACCGATTGAGCAGCTCGCAGTCTTCGCTGCGAATGGTAAACTGCGCCGAATTCGCTGCCTCAGACAGACCATCGCCGACCACATTGGATCCTAGATGGCTGCCTCGATCCTCCCGCGGAGAGACTGCGGCACCAGATGAAATACTTTGCGAATGGGGAGCACACTGCAAAACTGCCTCGGGAGACAATCCGGGCTCCAGACGGGCGCCGCCAGACACCTCCGGGCCATTCTCATGGCTCACCGGCTCCGCCGAGCAAATGTCGCTGCTTCCGGCCTCTGCAAGGGACGTGGCATGAACAAAACTGTGAGGCACGATCGAATCGACGCCAAATGTGTCGAGATCAGCGCCTTCGGCCGCCAAAATGGCCTGGTCGTTCACCTGCTTATTTTTCTTCCTCTGCCTCCGGCGAGGCCGCTTCTCACCTATGAAGAACTCTTCCGGTGCCGCCTGGGTGGGGTGGTCGGCCTGCGCACCTTCGCCAGCGGGGGCGGGGGTGGCAGAAATGGCATCCTCACCGGCTGAGGCGGCAGCGGCGGCGGCGGGGGAAACAGCGCCGGACAGGTCGAACTCGAGCTCAAGGACGGTGCCGCCAGCACCGGCAGCGGCGGACGCGGAGGCAACGTCGCCGGCGGACGCTTGGCCAACGCCGCACGCCGGTTCCGGTCCGAAAGCTGGGCCAGCTGCTTCGCCCTCTCTCAGAAGAACTCCTTCCGGGACATGCGCAGGTAGACCTCCTTCCCTGTCTTTAGGCCCTTCTTTTCCTTCTTGTCCTTCATCTCCTTCACCTGGTTGCTGTTCTTCTGCTTCTTCGGACGCCGCCTCGGACGGCGTGCGGCCAGCTCCGCTGCTGGGTTCGCACACCGTTTCTTGCGCTGCCGGCCCCGGGTTGCCGTCTTCGCTGCCGGCAACAGCGCTGCAGGCGCAGGAGGCGCTGGCGGCGTCGCAGCTGGCGGAGGTGGCACCGAAAGCCGGGCAGCAGGCGGCGGCTCCACTGGCACCGGAAAGTCCGTGCCCCTGTCCTTCACGCCCCTGTCCTTCAGGCGGCCCTCGCGAGGAGGCGGGGGCAACACACCACGTGATTTGCGGCCCCACCGGGAAAGCACCTTGACAACATGAATGGCTCCACCCTCCCTCTCCGACAATGGCGGGGGTACTGGTGGAGCAGGCGCTGGCGGAGGCTGCGGGACATTGCAAATTGGAACCGTCCCACCCTCCCTCTCCGCTAATGGCGGGGGTACTGATGGGCAAGGCGGCGGTGGGGCCTGCGACGCCAACGAAGTCGCGCCCACCGCCCACGACGCCAAGGTAATCGTGTCCACATCCGACATTTTGAGAGCAGGCGCCGCACCAATCCACTGGCCAGGAGGACCCTGTGGACGCAGCATCCTGAACAACAATATCGAAGGACTGGGCTCCAAGGCCAAATGCAAATTGCCTGAGCCTCTCACCCAACTCTTGCGACAATAAGTGATGTGGCACGAAGAAGCGAACTTGCATGCAAAGGAAAAGACGGACACGATATGATCCCAGCTCTTCACCCTCTCGTCAGCTACAAAAGGGCGCTCAAGCCGCACACATCGCGGTGGTCCAGCGGCTGGGCCCCGGCGCAGGCGGGCAGGCGAGGCGCGCGCCCGGCCTGAGCCAGAGAGGCTTGAGGAATCATGAATCAGGAGGAGGGAGAAGGGAGATGGGGGAAGAGAGGGGGACGGGGGGAGGGAGGAGGAGGATCAGGAGGAGGGAGAAGGGAGATGGGGGAAGAGGGGGGAGGGGAGACGGGAGAAGGGCGAGGGGGACGGACGGAGGGAGATCGGAGGAGGGAGGACGGAGGAGGGAGGACGGAGGAGGGAGGACGACGGAGGCAGGACGACGGGGGAAGCTTCCTTGCCACTGCGAGGTCTGGGGCTTCGCGAGCGCGCACTTTGTCGGCCACTCCTTCGGCACGTTCCTCGTGTCGTGGATGCTGCGGTACCAGCCGGGGCACGTCGAGAGGCGAGCGTGCCCTTCGGCCTCCGACCGCTTCCTCCTCCTCTGGCCTTCTCCGCACCAGGGCTCCATGGTCGGCTGGCCATCCTCCCTGATCGGGGGACAGAAAGATACGGATACGTGTTGTCCCCCTTCGTTTTCGGCCTTTCCTGGTCCTCCTGGGGAATCCTCGTTGTCACCGCTGGATTCGCCTCGAAATTCTGGTCAGAACGCACCCCAAGAGAGGTCCGGGGACAACACGTATCCGTATCTTTCCGCCCCCCAACCTGAGGACCCGCTGCCCAGGAGCAAACAAGCAGACCTTCCCGGCGCCAAGCCGGCTGGCAGGAACCTGGCGAGGAGAAGTGTGCACATTCAACGATCCTGGCCAGATTTGTCTTGAGCCCAGGGTGGGCCTGGCTTGAAGTCGCCTTGGCGCCGAACCATGCGGTCTTGAATCTGTCTCGGGGCGCTCATGGGCCAGAATCCAGCCGTTCGGGGTGCTTCTCGGCGCAGTTTTTTGGGCTCGTTGGATCCTGCTGTGATGGTACATGTGGTGTCCTGCAGCCGTTTTGCGAAGAGGTTGGGCTGCCTTGGAGCGGCTTGGAATCCGACAAGTGCGCTTTTGGGTCTGTCTTGGGGCGCTCTTGGCGCCGTCTTGGGCCGCCTTGGTTTTTTCCCCACATCCAAAGTGGGATTCTTGTTTTCTCTGCACACCCCGCGCAGGAACACTCACCCCACCCCCTCTCCTCTTCTGCCTTCGCACACTCACTCACTCACTCATCATCATCACCACTCACTCACACTCACACTCACTCACACTCTCTCATCATCAACATCAGCATCATCACTCGCGCTCTCTCACACGCTCAGTCACTCACATACTCATTATAATCACCATCATCATCATCATCATCATCATCATCATCATCATCATCATCATCATCATCATCATCATTCCCCACATCCTAAGTGGGGTTCTTGTTCCCCACATCCTAAGTGGGGTTCTTGTTTTCTCTGCACACCCTCCGCGCAGGATCTCTCCTCCTCCTCCTCCCTCTCCTCTGCTCCTCTTTGCTTCCTCCTCCGCATCATCATCACCATCACCATCACTCCCCACTCATCATCATCATCACCATCAGCATCACCATCACCATCGCACGATCACTCACCATCATCGGCATCGAACGATCATCATCATCATCATCATCATCATCATCATCATCATCATCACTACTCGCTGACTTGAGGCCTGAATATGGAGGAAGTATCAGGCGGGAGCCTCGTCTGTGAGTGAATTGTGAGAAAGTCTCAGGCGGGAGCCCCCTCCCTATGATTTTATTTATTTTTTTTATTTCCCATTTTTTTTTTAAGGGCTCCGCACCATGTTTCGAATCCGAGGGGTTCATTCGAAACGGTTGATAATGTCGTCTAGTTTGGGCTCTGGTGACCTGAAATATGAGGCAAGTCTCGAGCGGGAGCCTCGTCTGTGAGTGAATTGCGAGGAAGTACTCAGGCGGAGGCCGCTCTATGGGGCCGCAACTTTCAGGTTCGAATCGAGCGGGTCATCCGAACGTGTAACTGTCGTTTTCTTTTGGGCTTTTGAGGCATGAATTATTGGCGGATGTATCGGCGGGAGACCTCGTCTGTGAGTGAATTGCGAGGATATTGGAAGTCTCAGGCGGAGCCCCTCCCCTATGGTAGCCCGCACTACATGTTCGAATCGAGCGGGTTCATCCGAACGTGTAGCTGTTCGTCACTTTTGGGCTCTTGAGGCCTGATTGATTATGGAGGAAGTCTCGAGCGGGAGCCTCGTCCGTGAGTGAATTGCGAGGAAGTCTCAGGCGGGAGCCCCCTCCCTATGGGGCCCGCACTTCATGTTCGAACCCGAGCGGGTCATCCGAATCGTGTAACTGTCGTCACTTTTGGGCTCTTGAGACCTGAGTATGGAGGAAGTCTCGAGCGGGAGCCTCGTCTGTGAGTGCATTGCGAGGAAGTCTCAGGCGGGAGCCGCCTCCCTATGGGGCCTGCACTTCATGTTCGAATCCGAGCGGGTCTTCCGAAACATGCAATTGTCATTACTTTTGGGTTCTTCAGGCCTGAATATGGAGGAAGTCTCGAGCGGGAGCCTCGTCTGTGAGTGAATTGCGAGGAAGTCTCAGGCGGGAGCCCCCTCCCTATGGGGCCAGCACTTTATGTTCGAATCCGAGCGGGTCATCCGAAACGTGTAACTGTCGTAACTGTTGGGTTCTTGAGGCCTGAATATGGAGGAAGTCTCGAGCGGGAGCATTTTTTTTTTTTTATTGTTTTTTACTTTTGGTCTTTTTGTTTTCGTCTGTGAGTTGAATTTGCGAGTGAAGTCTCAGGCGGGAAACCCCTTCCCTTTTTCTTTTTCTTTTTTTTTTTTTTATCTTCTTTTTCTTCTTTTTTTCTTAGGGCCGGTGCTCTTGTTCGAATCCGAGCGGGTCATCCAGCCAACGTGCAACAGTCGTTCACTTTTGGGGACCTGGCCCTGAATAATAATGGAGAAGTCTCGAGCGTGAGCCTCGTCTGTGAGTGCATTGCGAGGAAGTCTCAGGCGGGAGCCCCCTCCCTATGGGGCCCGCTTCCGGAGGCGCTGGCCGAGGCGGCGACGGCGCTGAGGAAAATGGATTTGCTTGCCCCGACGAGGGGGAAGGGGAGGTGCACATGGAGAAAAGGCAGGGGGATGAGGAGGGAAGGGGCACGGGGGAGGCCGACGACGAGGAGGAGGTGGCGCGAGAGGAGGAGGAGGAGGAGGAGGAGGAGGAGGAGGAGGAGGAGGAGGAGGAGGAGGAGGAGGAGGAGAAAGAGGAGGAGGAAGATAAATAGAAGGGGGAAGAGAGGGCAGTGCAGGGGGCCAGAGGAGAGGGTGTCCGCCAGGGGGAGGAGGAAAGGGCAAAGGGTGAGCTAATCAGATTCTCATGTGGGGTCCTACCGTCGGAGTATTTTTTTGCGTGTGTGGGTAACCTCTGAAGTTTTCCCGACATGATCTGTGACCGAAAACATCGGAAGCAACATGCAATGAGTTGCCGTCCGCTTTTCACTCTGTCTTTGCCTTCGAGGGCCTCGCAGGAAGCCTCTGGGGGCTTCTCTCGGAGGCCTCTTAGAGCATATCGGACAGTCTTGGAGCCTGCGGGGGCTCGACTCGTTGTGCCATCATTCGACACGCTTGGGGTGTTTCGTCGCCGTGTTGGGACGGCCTGTGGTTCTTGAAGTTGTTTGGAGGCCGAAAGGGAGGACGTCGGTGTTCAAACGCGGGGTGTGAGTGTTTGAGGATGGTCCTGATGACGGGGAGATTAGCTCCCTATCAAGCACTACAGAAGTCTTACAGGCAACATACGGACACCCTGGCACAGCCCAGTGTGCCGAAGGCACAGTGGCGGACGGTGGCGGCGGTGGCGGCTATCCGTTCTTCTTTCGTTCCTGAAGCGAAAGGATCGATCGATGTTGCGATTATACAGGCTTCTGCCACATCCGCCGACCCCTTTCATTCCTGTGCGAAGGAGTGGCCATCTTAGCCGTCTTGGAGGCCATCTTAGCCGTCTTGGAGGCCATCTTGGCCGTCTTGGAGGCCTGTTGGGGCCCTCTGGGGGCCGTCTTGGTTGCCTCTTGGGCCGTCATGGGCCATCTTGGAGGCCTCGTGGGCGATCATGGGGCGATCTTGGACCATCCTGGGCCATGTTGAAGCCATCTTGGGTGCATCTTGGGCCGTCTTAGCCGTGTTGGAGGCCGTCATAGGGCCATCTTGGAGGCCTCGTGGGCGATCTTTGGGGCCTCTTGGGCCGTATTGAGCCGTCGGAATACCAAAGAAGAGCACATGCCAAAATCCCTCCAACAATTTTTGGAAAATCAATGAATTCGGCCTCTTCGGGTCCTCCTGGAGGACCTCTTGGAGGCCTCTTAGGCCGTCTTGGAGGCTTCTTAGGCGTACTTGAAGGTATCTTGGGCTCTCTTGGGCCGTCTTGGAAGCCATTTTCGACCATCTTAGGCGAACTTGAGGGTCATTTCGGGCCATCTGAGCCGTCTTTGAGGTTATATTTGGCCATTTTGGAGCAGGACAGGCATTGACATTCGGACCCTGGCGGGCCGGGCCGAAGCGCCAGGGGGAGTTCTTTGGGAAGAGAAACAAAACCAAGAGCGAAAGGATTCAGCACGCCGGGCACCCCTATGATGAATCAACAGGGGGCGGCGGATCTACCGACTTCCGGCCCACCCCGCCATCATGGGGACATTTCGGGACCTCTTGGGCGATCTTGGGGCGATCTTGGGGTCCTCTTGGGCCGTCTTGGATCGTCGGAAGGCCGAACAGAAGCAAACGCGAAATCTTTCAAACACCCAAGACAAATAATTGTTTTTGGCTTCTTCGGGACTTCCTGGAGGATGTCTTGGAGGCATCTTGGGCTGTCTTGAAGGCATCTTGGGCACCTTCGGCTCTCTTGAGGATGTTTCTGCCGTCTTGGATGCCATCTTGGTCGTCTCGGAGGTTATTCTGGTAGTTTTGAAGTATCTTGGAGACCATCTTGGCCGTTTTCGAAACCTATTGGGACATCTTGGAGCCCTCTTGGGGTTGGCTTGAAGGCCTCTTGGGCCGTTCTGAAGCCATCTGGGAGGCCTCTGGGACTAGTTTGGGGACTCCTTGGGCCGTCTTAGGCGGTCGGGACACCAAAACCGAGGGGAAACAAACATCCTTCAATTAGCCTAACGAAGGACCCAACCATATGCAACTGCGAGTACAACATTGTGGGTACCGCTTTCGTTGGAGCTCCCTCTGGGGCCACGAAACGTGTAAGGGGTGTGCCGACTTGGGTGGCGAGGACGCGTGCAACCTCTGCCTTTTGGGCTTTATGTGGAGCTCTCTCTGGGGCCACGAAGCGCGTGAGGGGTTTGCCGAATTGGGTGGTGGTGACGCATGCAACGTCGGCCTTTCGGGCCTTCGGTGGAGCTTCCTCTGGGGCCGTGTGAGGGGTGTGCCGAGTTGGGTGGCGGGGACGCATGCGTCCTCGGCC